ATCACAGTTTGTTGGTATGGCGCTGCATAATGTTGTTCATAATGTTACGGCTGACCGGTGCATATTGCATTAATCAAATGACAGTACCAACATTGCCAGTTGGTATTAATCCCCAACATAGGAGGCACAATCACTGACGAGCCCTCTTATTGGTAAGTTAAAACAAACATCAAGCCTATACGTACATACTGATATCTTATCAAACAAGTCATCCCTACCCCAACTCAACCCCATCCCCCACCACCCTCCCCCTCTTTGTTGCTTGCACACACATACAGCACACACTTACCTTGGAGGAGGATGTGTCACACTCTTGGCAGATCCAGCCATATCCTGTCTGCTTGGGAGATTTCTTCAGCGGGGGGTCCAGACACCCAAAGTGATAGCAGAGCCGACACTCGTCACACCTGAGGCATGGACAGGAAGGGCATGTGTTACTACACACATAAATAAAGCCACTGTCTTCCTCCAATGATGAGGCCTGCTCAGGAGCTATGATGGATGGTGACAAGGCAGCTAGTTGTCAGTCATGAGACTTTGTTAATGCATTCCAAAGTCCCTCTAATCACTCCACTTCCTTGACCTTACACAGCCATTGACTGACCAATGGTTCGTATCAGCGGCCAGATAAATACAGGCCTTGTTAGTGTCAGATAAATGCCTGTTGGCTCTCGTAAAGCTGGAGTGACTCTGTCCTCAGGTGAGGTAACAAGGGTCAGCACAGAGGACACACTGAAAAACTTTAAAGAAAATATGCATGAAGAAGATGACTACCATGCTTACACAGAAGCTGTGTTGATTGAGAATATCCCTTTATTTATTCAATTTTAAAAGCATGGACCGATAAGTCTAGATGCCATTCATCTTTTTAATGGTAATTAATAATTGCTGTTACTCACATAATAACAAACAAGCAGACTGACAGCACAATCAAAGAGCAGGTTAACTGCTGAAATGAACAAGTAAACCAGCTAATATTATCCTAAACTGTGCAATTTAAAGCAGATATGCATGTGGAACTGAGTAACCAATCACAGGCTGGCCAAGGAGCCAATCATACAAGTGGATCAGCACAGTGAACAAATATTTTTGTCACAGCAGAACCAATCAGCAACCTGACATTCCTTCTTCTGTCCCACACTGTCTGTAGTAAAATAATTAATAATAATTAATAACATTTTCAGTGTAACATTTTTGAAACATGCTTGTGCTGCTGAAAATGTGTAAGTAATTACCGTTACTAGTTATTTCTCTCAAAAGTAATGGAATTACTTTACCAATTGATCTCTTATTAACGCACACGCGTCAGCTATATCATTTTAGTATTGCTGTGGGACAAATGTATCTAGTTATTAATCCTCCACCACCAGAGGGCAACGATAAGTAGTGTTCCTACCTGTAAGCCACACTTATTATCTAGGTTAGCAGACAGGAGGATTTAGTAGAAGAAGACCCACACAGATGCACACATTAACCGAGCTTTGCAACAGTAGTTAGTTAATAAAGCTTAGCTTAGCTCACACTGCCTGAACTGTTATGCTCCACCGTAAGGTCTGTTGACATTACGGTGGAGAATCAAGCAGCTGTCCACTATTTTCAGGTAAGACAAAAGTAACAAGTCCATTTAAACGTCCATTGCCTAATTTATGTTGCTTGGGGGTTTCTCACATCCAAACAATAAGAAAAGTTTTTGGAGCATGGGAGTTGTTCACCACCATTGCCTACCAAGGTTAGCCCCTGTCCACAGCAGTAAATAGATTAGCTACTGTTACTCCTGTGTGGTTCTTCAAACTGGGGACGTGCAGACCACCATCTACTGTAGGTAATATATACTATGGATAAGTACCTTATACAACCCCAAATCCAAACTTGATTGTTGAGTCTCATTCCGAGGGCATCAAATACAGCCCTGTTTGGACTTGGAGAGGTGATTTTAACATTACCTGCGCTGGTCAGTGATTTTAATCCTGTCCAGAGCGCAAATGTAATAAGTAATAATTACAGCCACAATAACCTGCTGTTTTCCTGTGAACTCACTGGACCTCCTGAAATTAAACCCCATAGAGACTGAAGTCCTTAGATTTAAAAGTGGAATTTGTGCAAAAATGGAGTTGAAAAAGTCTAAACTATTTTTGCTCATCTGTCTACAGACAGAAACATGTCAACACCAACAAAACTTTTCATTCCCCCACCTCCCCCTGTAATGTTAATCCTGTCTGAATTGGGCTTTAGATTGATATGGTGTTTTTCTTGGTCTGCTCATTTGCAGTTTCACAGGTTAGAAACAACTCTTAAACTCTACCCTGAAGATTACTGAGGTCTTAAAAAGTCCCACTGAACCTTGCAGATAGACTTGTCATTGCTGTGTTTCTCTCCCGGTCTTCAAAGCCCTCATGTTGTTCTTCTGGCCCCATGGAAACGAATAGAGAGGGTTCAGGTTGACCTCCCTGGCTGTTAAGCTGTTATCAGATTTTCATTGGAGAATGTGAATCTCCTTCATTGATTAGGACATAATTGGCTGTAATTGGAGTGTGTGTGTCTGTGTGTTTACCAGACAGGGGGAGCTTTTTGAAGGGCAGTCAGCCTCATAAATGATTAAAAGAAAAGTCTGCTCTCTTTGTGCTACAGGTCAGCCTGTTCTGGTTTAGATTTAGATTTCCAAATGAATACATTGTGAACTGAGTGTGAACAATTTCATGTGAAAACTGTGAAATGTTAAAAAAAATATATATTTAAACTGTTTTTCTGCTATTGAGCTGCATCCAAATCTACTTGTGGTTCCTATAGTCTCTAAGTAGCAGAGCCAGAGCTTCAGTTCCAGCTCTCTCCTGTGGAACAGCTATCCGTGTTTCTGGGAGCAGACACCCTCTCCACATTTAGTGAGACTGGATACTAACTATTGATAGCTTGTTACAGAGTCATTGTGCATTCTTTAGATCACTCCATGTTAAATTACCTAGATTCTGAAGCATTTTTTGCATATTTTTTAGCAATCACTTATCCCCGACTTTCCCCCCGGTTGCCTGTGGACTGATTTATATGTGTTTCTGTGTCGGGATGCACCCGAGTGCCTTCTCTCTACACTTACCTGCAGTGTCAATGGTGTGCAACACTAGCTAATGTTAGCCTATAAATGGAGTCCACTTACTTCAACAAATGACCAGCACCCAACACAGAGTCCGACACAAAGTCAAAAATCTAAGCTAATATTACTACAAAGCTTGTGGAATATATTGTAATATGAGGTTTTAGCTGGCTAATGTTAGCTTGCTTGCTAAAATGGACGAACTCCTAGCTGGCTAATGTAGCAATTTACTGTCAGCTAGCTTCACCCAGACTAATCTGGTGTCATTAATAACGGTTTTCTGAAAGTTACATATAGAACTTTTACATTTTCTAATGATGTTCCATTAATTTTCCAAACATACAGCAGTCAAAAGAGGTTCAAAATCAGTTCTCTGGATAAAGTTATAGCTACTTTCTGAAGATACTTGTAACTGGTAACAAGACGGATACTACATTCTGATTTCCCGTGAAAGAAAGAAGTGTCTTCACTTGCATTACTGCACACAATACAAAGTTTCCAACGTGTATTAACACAAACTATACAGTCATAACAATCTAAAACAGACGTTTCACCTGACATGAGCCACAGCCATCAGGCAGCTTTATATCGGCTGAGACACCACTGCAACTGTTATGCAGTGTTATAAAAGTCTTAATTAAAAGTCTATAATAAGTCTAAGAATAAAAGGAAATGACCAGACATGCGACATTTAGGTGGTTTAAGTTGCCTGAAATTGCAAAAACCTGCTAAATTAATTCTGCCATATTTAACGGCCAAAAGTCACATGCTGCATAATGACATGTGGCATGTCTCCTTATTTACATTGACCACCTGAGGATCATAAGGGTTGACATGAAAATCCACTTGAAGGACCTCTTAAACCTTGATGTTCCTGTCTGGGTGGTTCAGCCCTTTCAGGCAGATGTGGCCAAATACAAGCTCATCTTGATGGCATTCAAAGCAACAAGTCCCAGGCTACTTCCCGCCCCTCTGGCTGGGGCAGTATGTGGGTCAAATATGCGCAGTGTTACCCACTGTTAGGGAAAGGACCAGTCTAATTCTTCTTACTTTCCCAACAACAATCCACAGTAGCTGATCAGTTATTCATACAGGTCCTCCACACACAGCTCTTTCATTTAATAAAATTAATAATATGTCTTATCTGATTGTTTGACATTTTTGATTGGTTGTTTAAATAAAAGTAGAATGTCATATTTCTAACCATTTCTGATTGACTGCTGTTTGTGATACCTAATTAAAGCTTGAATGTCAAAATTCTAACCTATGCATTTATAAACACATCATTTGGTTCACTTCTGTGAAGAAAAGTAAATGTAAAACAAATTAAAGCTGCAAGTCGGGGCGTGCTCCGGCCGCTTTACATGCCGTCGTAACAAATGTGGACCACAACATGAAAATTTCACGTAAATCAGCTCAAAATCGCCACACAGCGCTTACTTCCTGTTGCCAGTAGGTGGCGCTACCACTATGTCTGAATATTGTCATGTAGACGTCTTCAGGGTGGGACTGTTATCAAACACGTGAAGTTTCATTGAGATTGGACCACGTACGCTGAAGTTATGAGGACGTGTTCAGGGCGAGACTGTTACAGAATATATGAAGTTTATTGGAGATTGGACATTGCACACAGTACTGTTTTATGGCGAATCGGCTGAATTCGACAAGTCGTCACTGGCACGCGGTTTGACGTACAGTCACAAATAGCTCAACTTTTCATCTACAGTTTGTATGACCACAGAATTCAAAATGGCCAACTTTGACGGCATGCCACCCTTCAACGTACAGTCACAAATAGCAACCTTTTAATCAGCACCATTTTTTGACTGTACTGACCAATTTTGAAGCAGATCCGACAAATTCCCTAGGAGTTCGTTCAAATTTACAAGGTTGAAAAATTCACCAAAAATGAGCACGGAATTCAAATGCCAACTTGTTGACCTTCCCACTTCTTTTTTGACGAAAATTCTACAGGAAGTCTTACTTTTATAGCGTCTTATTTTTTGAAATTCAAAAAAATTTTCAAATTACTTTATTGCCAGGCGTTTCCCAGATGCTACGTGAAAAATTCCGTACGATTTGGACAAAGCGCATAGGAGGAAATACGAAAAAGTAGTTTACGAAAACATTTTGCGGCTCTAGCAAAAAAAATTATAAGCAGAAGTGGCGTGGGGCCTATTATGGGAAGATTCAGCTCCATTCACCGAACGCCGGTGGATATAAGCTTTTTGAATGTGCGGACAAATGATGTGGGAGTTATTAAGAATCAAAAAGTCAAAATACTGTTTTCGATCAATAGTAGCCGCCATCTAGTGGCAGACCCGAAAGCGACACATAGAATATCAATTTTTTCACAAGGCCCTGACAACTTTGCCAAATAAATTTGAGTGTTTGTATATGTTCAGGGGGGCCAAAAACACAGTCAAAGGCGCTAAAAATAATAGGTAAGCAAAATTATAGGTAAGAAGAAACATAGCAAATACAATAGGGACCTCCAGCGGTCGCTGGCTCGGCCCCTAATAAAACATTCCCCAATTCTCCGAAATAACGTCAGGGACCCCTGAGGGTCCCCAGAACCCAGGTGAAGAGCCACTGTAGTAGGGCACCAATAGCCCCAGCTCTCAGGTGTTTATAAAGAAAATAATTTCCACATAATACTGTATTTTATAAATGTCTGGTAACGGCAACATGAAATTAAATTAAAATTCTAACTGAAATTTAAGTGGTTTGAATCACTGAATAAGTAAGAAGTATTTCTGGAGCTCAATAAATTTCCTAAAAGGTGCCAAGTTCTCTTAGCTTTTCTTTGCTTATTTGTTTTTAAATACTGGTCCCACATAATTCAGTGGTTTGATGACAATTTCCTTTAAGCCCTTGTAAATAAAACAATGTTTTTTAAATGTTTGAAGTAATTTTCATTTTTTTTACCCTTGGAGACTTAACATCAGTATCACTGGTCCAAACACTGAGGTCAAAGTAGCTCTCTACACTGTGTATATTTAGGCTTTTTGCTAAAATCAACAGTCCTTATCTTCACATATCAAATTGATATCACTGCCTCTGTGTCTCTCTCAGGGAGAGTGTGTGTTGAGTGTTGAGCTCAACGATGATGATGCGTGTTGGGCTGTGAGAGAAGATGAAGAAGTGGAGTTTTATCTTCTATTCTTAGGATCCACTCAAAACCATCTGACCAGCACACTGCGAGTCAGCCACGTCACACTGCAGGCTGTGTGTCCAGGTACTACACACATTTTACACATTTATGGCCACTAAATAACATCCCTGTAGCATATTGAGCAATCTTGCAGATGGTTTCACAAATAACGAGCTACTGCTTAAAGTCAGCAGAACCAAGGATTTAAGGAAAAAATAGGCAAAGACACATACACAAAAGATTATAGATACGCATTTATCCAGCATCAGCGATATTGTGTTAAAAGACAGCACACACGCCAACTAAAGCCTGTTCAACCCTGCTGCCGTATCGACAAGAGATACAGAAGTTTATGCTGCTGTACCACCAGACTTAAAGACACCTTCTTCCCACAGGCTGTGAGACTGCTAAATGTATCTTCAACACTCCCCGATGTAAAATAGTTTTATTTATAACTTAACTACAACTTAATCTTGTTATAAAACCTTATGTTGTAAAATACTAAATAAATCAACTTGTATCTTATTAAACCCTTATTTCCTCACAGCTGCTATTCAAGATCTGAAATATTTCAAACCTAAATCAAAGATGTTAACAAGTGTGTGTGTGTGTGTGTAGCCCATAATGTGTGTGAGCAGGTCTTGGTGAAATTGTGTTTTGCTAGGCCTGGTGGACCAGTGGACACACACTCACAGGAGACCTTCTGCTTTGTACAGGTAACAGTACAGTCCTTTCATGGCATTAGATTGGACACTTTTTGTCCTTGGTGGATTAAATAATTTATTTCCCAACCCAATTTAGAACAACATGCATTTGTCTTCGTTCCTACTTCAAAGAAACCTAGCATACTACTATATGCATTGTAAAAAAAATACAGCTAGGCCGGCTAATATATCTGCTGACACAGATATATTAAGGTAATTTAGATACACAGAGTTTTGATTACAATCTTAAACTAAATAATGAAAAACGTTTTAGTCCCTTTCTGTTAGACTAGTTCACTAGAAGGCACAACAGACTTGTCTGTTATGGGTTTGAGTTTTTCACAATAATGATGGCAGCATCAATGTGTTTGTTGTGGTTAGGACTTGGCTCTCGACATGGCCCACTTCCTGCTTGACAGTACAGCTCCACAGGAAGCTTTACTATTGGATGATGAGCAAGTAAGTAGGAGAGAGCTTGAGGGCTCCGAAACTGTTGCATGCATTTGGAATGATTTTGTTTTGATATTTTTGATACTGGATTTAAATGAAATCAGACTGTGTCTAGAAGTAAGAAATTTAACATAAATAACAGCATGCAAAGAAATGTTTATAGAAGGGGAGAGAGGACACAGAAGAAAAACGAGTGTTGTTACAAGTGTGACCTGTCTATATTGTCAGAGTCCATTGAAAGAGTGTGAGAAGTTGGATCAGAACCTTGCCTTGGCCCTGAAGCATCTCGCCCTGCCCCAGAGGACTG